ATAGCCATTCGCCAAAATAAAACCCGCCATTTTGAGCCTTTATACGCATGCTCAATGGTAAATGGCCACTAATTCACCAAATTAAAATTTGTCAATCACAAAATTTTGGCAATTCACCAAATTTAACTCTCTCCAAAGTTTCCCACTATACAATAATACACAAACTGTATAAAAATAGTACACAGCTACACATTACTATCAATTTTTGTTTCAAAAATTTAAAAATTGGAAATAATCAAATTTAAGACTCAAAAGTCTAAACAATAACACAACAGGACTTTACGTCCATTCAAAAATTTTGTAATATTTGGAGGATCAGTACAAAATCCTGTGATGTGAAGTCAGCCCAAAGCTCTTCCTTTTAAACAGTAAAAACATAACCAGGCAATTGTGGGTCGCACTGTTATCACATTAGTTGCCTTGGAGACACACCATATAAGGCTTGAGTATATTCAAAGAGTTCGAATTAGTTTATATAGCAGTCCACCTGTTATAACAGATTAGCCTGTAGCTGGTTTATTTCATCGCCTTAAACTTTTTAAAATTTTCGACTCAATAAATCATGAATGTACCATATAGTGGGAAGTTTTGGAGGGAATTAAGTTTGGTAAATTGGCGTTTTGATAGCCATTCGCCAAAATAAAAATTCATCATTTTGAGCCATTATGTACATGCTCAATGGCACGTGGCCAAAAATTTGCCAAATTAAAATCCGCCAATCACCAAAATTTAGCAATTCGCCAAATTTTATTTCCTCCAAAATTTCCCACCATACGATACATGTACATATGTGCATGTACAATTAAAATAATGTAGAATGTTAAAAATAATAGTATAAATGTATTCTTGACACTATGGTAGTCAATGTGTATTATTGTATAAAGAATGGTACTAACCATTATCCAGTAGTAACTGAATGATGTCTTCATTGTCAGTGATCACTGCATAATGTAATGGAGTGAATCCAGTATATGTGGCATAAGCATTGATAAATGAACAGAAGTGATGTTCTCTCAATTGAGCAACTAAAAATATAAAAACATAATAGCTCAAACCCTTCACACAGGATTAAATGGAGAACTTCCTCATAGTGATTTTTGACAAAATACCCTGTACTATAGTATAGCGACTTTGGCTTGATTTCGGAGCAACTTTTAAAATTCGTAAATAATCCAATTTTGATTGGAATCAGCTTAAACTTTCTACAAAATATAAGTACATGTATATGCATCAGGAAAATTATTAAAATATAGAATTCTCACTTCTTCATTTTTAGTGAAATTTGCCCCGAGACCATGTACTATAGTACAGGGACTTTAGCCCAATTTTGGAGCGACTTTTAAAAATTCATAAAAAATTCAATTTTGATTGTAATCAGCTCAAAATATATTATTTTCTTTACTTTGATGATGTGATGCCTTTAGTACACGTGCCATCCTCCTAGCTGATGAATATTCATCCTGTGTATTAACATTGGCTCCGCCCACTTTAATTAACCACTCAACAGCCCTATATATAGAAATGATACGTGTCAATGATGTAATCATAATTGAAATCTTTCTCTTGCAGTGACAAGGTGGAAATAACTTTTAGGTATATGGTTTTAGTTATTTTTCTATTGGTTTCAGAAACTGCATTTATCCTTAAATTGCAACATAATTATATCACAGTTATAAAAGGTTAACGCTATATTAATCTTAAACATGATAAAGAGCAAAACACATTTCCTATCATGCATATGTTATATGTAGAATAGATGTACATGTACGTGTAAATAATTAATGAGCTCTCACTTTTCATTTCCATTGATCACTGATACATGCAATGCTGTCCATCCTAACTGATGACGGCAATTAACATCAACACCATTTGATAATCCCCTAAAGGAATATAAATATTAAAAATACATACCATATTTCCTTTAATAAAAGCCGGATGTGAATAAACGCCGGGGTAGCAATAGAATTGAACTATAAATACACAAATCTAGCCTTGCAATAACTCAGATGCCTTGTGGATACTGCTTTAAGTTCCTGAAGTAAAGTGCAAGATGTCACAGGTTCAAATCCTGCTCTGTGTCCAAGTTGCATTTTATTTTTTTTATTTTTTCGAGGTCAAAATACCATTTTAGGAAATAGACACTTAAGGAAATATGGTACAATATTACTACATACATTATTACTACAAGAATTAATTATTACTACAGAAATCATTACTACAAAAATGTAAAACATTAAGGGACTATCATGTCCTTATGTACGTGTACGTGTACCAAATGTGTCTTCAGAACATAACTATAACTAATTATTAGTTGGTTTCTATTTATAACTCACCTTTTAAGTGATGCAATGTTACTATTTTTAGCCGCCAACAAAAATTCTTCATTATTATCTAAATTAAACATAATGATATACCAGTAGTTTCCATTTGCTGTACCTCTATCATTATTAGAACAGAACGCTAGTCCAATAGCAGCTACCAAACAATACGAAGATAAATATCTTCTGTCATCATATTTAGAGTCATCACTCCTCTTAGCGGCTAGGAGAAATAAGTTTCTTTCAGTTGGGAGCCAATAGATATGTGATATCACGCGTGGGGATGCTATTCTGGTGCTTCTTGCTCGAGAGATAAATCTCAAAGTTCTCCAAATTGTACAAAAACTTCGAGAGAAATTCATAAAGAAAGGCATGAAACAACGTGATGGAAATGTTGTGGGTGTGTCTTGCGTTTATATCATCATCATTATTCATTCATTCATGAATAATAAATGAGTTTATCTTCTTTGCAAAATCAAGAAATGCCTGCTCTTTCCCTTGCTGTCCTTATCCTATTATTATTGGTTGCTAGTAATGAAGGAGCAACAGGAGGAGGAGTATGTACTGAAGGATTCATGGACTTGAGTCTACTAGTAGCTAAAGCAGCTACACCAGTTAGTTCACTAGCTGATAATACTTTAGCTGACAGCAATGAAGGAAGATGGATCATTGATGGGGGGCATGCATTTAATTGTAGCGGTACTATTACTGTAACAGAAGTTCTTCTTGGAGTTGACATCAGATCAAATCATGGTAATAGGAACAAGTATCCTAGCATTGAAATGTGGCTTGTAGTTGGTCTCCTTTACGAAAAAAAACAAACTATTCCTATTGCATTATCTCCTGATAATTTCACAACTAATGGATTATATCGTTACACTCTTCCTACTCCTTATGCAACTGTCAGTCTCACTAATACTTACAGACTAGGAGTGTATCAACCTGAAGATGATTCAAGTGTTGTTAGACTTTACAATGCAACCACTAGCAGCACAGAAACAGTTGGAAGAATAAGAGCAGACTCCATTAGTGAATCAAGTATCACAATAACTGGTTTAACTAAAGAAATTGATCAAGTAGATACAAATGATGTTTTTATGGCACATCTAATAACAGGTATGCATAACGTCATTAACAAAATATTAAATTCATTTTTTATCTAGATCCTCCAAACTGCTTTCAAAATGTTTTCACTGAAACTGAAATTAATACAAACAGTCTATCAGTTACTAATGTAATACCAGTCAGTGATACAAGAGCTTTTCCTGATATACAGTTCACATGTAATGGTATTATTACTAACTGGATAATTGGTATTACACAGAATCAGGATACAAGCAAACATTATCCTAACATTTATTTAAAACGTTCTTCTAAACTGATTCATGCACTAACTGTTGATGCTTCTGCTGCTACATCAAGTAATGGTAATGTATATAACTTTACAAGTGATATTGAAGTAGAGTATGGAGATATATTAGTAATCAATGTAACCACTAATAGTAATCCAATGTATTATCAACAATACAATGGACCATTGAATTATGAGCTTGATAGCAGTAATGGATTAATACCATTGGAACACAATGACTATCCACTGATATCAGTTATGATGAGTGAGTATTCCTAAACTATACTATGTAATGAAAATTATATTTTCCTTTTAGAGCCAATTCCTTCAATTACTCAAACATCATCAGCTACTATTGAGTCAACATTCTCCTCCACTACAGATATTGTAATGACGCCACAGAGCATTCCAACATCATGTCATTCTGTCAGCTCACATCATAGCTTAAGCAGTGTTATTACTACTTCATGGGCCGTGACCACTAGCATTTCTCTCTCATTCCATGGCAGTGTAACTTCATCATTTTCAGGTATTTATATGCAACAGTAATCATTATACTGTACCTATTACTTCTAATGCAGTTACTTCATCAAGCATCAATGCATTATACTCAAGATCTACAGTTGTAACTAAGGAGCCAATGGAATCTGCTAAATTTAGCATAACATCAAGTACAGTAACTATTATACTATAAATAATAATTAGTAACTTTATCAATAATAGTCACTACATCAATGGAAAGTACACCTGGTCAAAGTATGGACAATAATACACTGATAATGCTAATAGGAGTTATTAGTGCAGTATTACTGGTAGTTACTATACTAGTAATATTAATAGTGAGTGTATTAGTGTGTAGGAGAAAACAGTTGAGTACTGGTGATACTAAAAGTAATACTCAAAGAGTAGTAGATGAGCATAAAAGAGGTAAATTTCTTAAATAAAGAACATTTCACTAATTTATTGTTATTGTATAGATGAAGGACAGAATATAATATCAAATATGTCTGGTAATGCTGCTTATGGTGTTATTGGTGGAAATAAAAGTAAGATATAGATTTTTATACCTAAAAAGGAAATTTTAACCAATTACAATAGATGATGATGACTATAGTAATCCTGCTTATGGAATCAACACTATGACACAAAGTAAAATAATAAGAACTATTGTTATAATTTGATACAATATGTGCACATAGGTATTAATGAAGAACCATTAGTGTATGATAAAGCGAAAACAATGAATAATAAACAAGAGGTAACATGACAATATTATGTTATAAATATCGTTTAGTGAACTATTATGCAATAACCATGGCCAAAGCTAATTTAAACTTCATTACTTAAACTCAATATTAAAAGTCCTAGTCATAATAGTCCATTAATTCACTGTATTTTTATTGGCAGGTTATTGTAATGCCAGCACATAATGGAGCATATACACAACAGAAAGAAGAAGAAGAAGACTTGTACATCTAACATATTGACATTGAACACACATTAATGCTCATAGAGCACATGCACATATAATGAGCTGCACTAAAATATTGATTCTTTTTGTTAGAGTAGATTAGAGAGTACAATAAATTCAAATTTGCTAAATTTATGAGACACTAGTAAAATTGGGTGTGGTAGTCTAATGATGTACATCCTGTAGATGAACTTGCTGAGTAGATGATCACAAAATGTCCAGTATCTTCTTATTCCTATTATTATTGGTTGCTAGTAATGAAGGAGCAACAGGAGGAGGAGTATGTACTGAAGGATTCATGGACTTGAGTCTACTAGTAGCTAAAGCAGCTACACCAGTTGGTTCACTAGCTGATAATACTTTAGCTGAGGGCAATGAAGGAAGATGGATTCTTGCTGGTGGTCATACATTTAGTTGCAATACTGCTACTGTAACAGAAATTATTCTTGGAGTTGATATCAGATCAATGGATGGTACTAGGAACAAGTATCCTAGCTTTGAGATATGGCGATTAGGGAACAATGCTTACCGAGATCGTGTCACATTGCTTCCTATTGTATTATCCCCTGATAATGTCACTACTAATGGATTGTATCATTATGTTCTTCCTACTCCTTTTAGTATCAATAGTGATATTCATGACAGGCTAGGAGTGTATCAACCTGAAGATGATTCAAGTGTTGTTAGATTATACAGAGCAACCACTAGCAGCAGAGAAACAGTTGGAGTAATAAGAGCAGACTCCATTAGTGACACAAGAATCAGGATATCTGGATCAAAGAAAGAAATTGATTTTATAAATACAAATAATGTTTTTATGGTACATCTAATAACAAGTATGTATAGTAAAATTATTAAAAGTAATTTATTAATTGACAATTTTTTATTATCTAGATCCTCCAAACTGCTTTCAAAATGTTTTCACTGAAACTGAAATCAATACAAACAGTCTATCAGTTACTAATGTAATACCAGTCAGTGATACAAGAGCTTTTCCTGATATACAGTTCACATGTAATGGTATTATTACTAACTGGATAATTGGTATTACACAGAATCAGGATACAAGCAAACATTATCCTAACATTTATTTAAAACGTTCTTCTGAACTGATTCATGCACTAACTGTTGATGCTTCTGCTGCTACATCAAGTAATGGTAATGTATATAACTTTACAAGTGATATTGAAGTAGAGTATGGAGATATATTAGTAATCAATGTAACCACTAATAGTAATCCAATGTATTATCAACAATACAATGGACCATTGAATTATGAGCTTAATAGCAGTAATGGATCAATACCATTGGAACATAATGACTATCCACTGATATCAGTTATAACAAGTGAGTAGTTTCCTAACTAATATCATTTAATTATTTTCCTTTTAGAGCCAATTCCTTCAGTGACTGAAGCATCATCCTCTACTGTTACTGAAGACATTAATACTGTTGCTACAATGATAATGCTATCATCCTCCACCACTACAACAGATATTGTAATGACACCTAATAGCATTCCAACATCAGCAAAAGTCATACATCACTCTACCAGTTTAAATTACACTACTACTCTTTCCTTATTATTGGGTATTATATCATTATTCCCCACTAATGTCATATCAACCAGTGATACTGCTAACACCAATGCTTTATTAAGCAGTGTTAGTGCCAATGTTCTGTCAAGTAATGTTATTGGTATTAGTGCTTCAGTGATTAGTAGTAGTAGCATTGTACCCTCGTCAAGTAGCTTAATTGTTACCATTACTCCATCTCCAGCTCTCTCTATTACTGAGTCAATAACTACACCATTGTCTAGTATTGAAAGTAGTCATCCTCTACTGTCAACAGGAAGTATCAGTACAACAAAAGTCAGTCGTATACAAAACACTGTATCACAAGGCAATCCTACCAGTGAAGTATTAGTCACTTCAAGTAGTAGTAGTGTCACTACTACCTCATTGAACTCTGCATCAATGGAAAGTACACCTGATCAAAGTACAGGGAGTTTAATACTAGCAGGAAGTATTAGTAGTGTATTTATATTACTGGTAGTTACTATACTAGTAATATTAATAGTGAGTGTATTAGTGTGTAGGAGAAAACAGTTAGGTACTGGTTATGCTAATGGTGATAATGAAAGGATAACAGATGAGCAAAAACAAGGTAACTTAAATAACAAACATTCACTAACTTCACTAATATATATATATTTTTTATAGATGAAAGACTGAATGTTCTATCAAATATATCTGCTAATGCTGCTTATGGTGTTATTGGTGGAAATGAAAGTAGGATAGATTAGATTGTACCTGAAAGAGTAATTTTAACCAATTATATATAATAGATGATGATGTCTATAGTAATCCTGCTTATGGAATCAACACTATAATGACACAAAGTAAAATAATAAGAGCTATTATTATAATTTTGATAAATTATAGGTATTGATGAAGAACTATTAGTATATGATGAACCAAGAACAATGTATAATGAACAAGAGGTAACATTACAATAATACTGTAAATTATGTAAAAAATAATAGGTATAGCTAAGTTTAATTTTATTACTTAAATTAACATTAAAACTGTTAGCCATCACAGTGCATTTATCAACATTGTTTGACAGTTGGCTGTATTTCTATTGGCAGGTTATTGTAATGCCAGCACATAATGAAGCATATACACAACAGAAAGAAGAAGAAGAAGACTTGTACATCTAACATATTGACATTACTATAATAAACAGGACATACATTAATGCACATAAAACACATACACAAATAACAAATTGCACTAAAACATTGTAGAATTTAATTTTGTTGTTAAAGCCATTAGACAAGTACAATAAATTTAAAATTTTTACATAATTCTAAAATATCCAGTAGTGCTTCTTCCAAACCACATTTACAATGGCATTATAGTTCTCTTTTAAACAATGTTCATGCACTATACACAACCAATTGTTATCGCCTTAGATCAGGACTGATATCAGTCTGAATAATACCATGATATCAGTCCTGAATCATGGTTTTTGTGTAATCAGTCATGATACAATCATGATAAAATTTGTACTAATTCATCCCAGAATAACAGGCATGATCTATAATATAATGTGTCAGGGCTGTACCAGTATAGGATATCAGATTTGTATCAATCAGTCATATTATCATCAATTATTTATGATTGCACACAATGTGAATGCCTAGCAAAATTGGGTGTGGTAATGATGTTCATAGAATAACATCCTGTTAGCAAAATAGGAAGACACTTGCTGAGTAGATCATCACAAAATGGCCAGTATCTTCTTATTCCTATTATTATTGGTTGCTAGTAATGAAGGAGCAACGGGAGGAGGAGTATTTACTGAAGGATTCATGGACTTGAGTCTACTAGTAGCTAAAGCAGCTACACCAGTTGGTTCACTAGCTGATAATACTTTAGCTGAGGGCAATGAAGGAAGATGGATCATTGATAGTGGTCATGCATTTAATTGTACTACTACTACTGTAACAGAAGTTCTTCTAGGAGTTGACATCAGATCAGAATATGGAAACAGAAGCAAGTATCCCAGCATTGAGATATGGATTGATGGGAACAGTAATTACCAGAAACATTGCACTATTCCTATTGTGTTATTTCCTGATAATGTCACTACTAATGGATTATATCGTTACATTCTTCCTACTTCTATTAGTATCAGTGGCAATAAGTATAATAATTACAGACTAGGAGTGTATCAACCTGAAGATGATTCGAGTGTTGTTAGACTTTACAATGCAACTACTAGCAGCACAGAAATAGTTGGAAGAATAAGAGCAAACTCCATTAGTAATTCAAGTATCAGAATAAATGGTAATAATAGAGAAATTGATCGAATAAATACAAATGATGTTTTTATGGTACATCTAATAACAGGTATGATAGCTTTATTAACAAAATTAAATCATTTTTATCTAGATCCTCTGAACTGCTTTCAAAATGTTTTCACTGAAACTGAAATTAATACAAAAAGTCTATCAGTTACTAATGTAATACCAGTCAGTGATACAAGAGCTTTTCCTGATATACAGTTCACATGTAATGGTATTATTACTAACTGGATAATTGGTATTACACAGAATCAGACTACAAGCAAAGATTATCCTAACATTTATTTAAAACGTTCTTCTGAACTGATTCATGCACTAACTGTTAATGCTTCTGCTGCTACATCAAGTAATGGTAATGTATATAACTTTACAAGTGATATTGAAGTAGAGTATGGAGATATATTAGTAATCAATGTAACCACTAATAGTAATCCAATGTATTATCAACAATACAATGGACCATTGAATTATCAGCTTGATAGTAGTAATGGATTAATACCATTGGAACACAATGACTATCCACTGATATCAGTTGTAGTAGGTAAGCTTTAAAATTTTAACTATTATTATGATAAGTGTTATTATTAATCAATTGTTTTCCTTTTAGAGCCCATTCCTTCAGTGACTGAAACATCATCCTCTACTATTACTGAAGACATTGATACTGTTGCTACAATGACAATGCTATCATCCTCCACCACTACAACAGATATTGTAATGAAACCTAATAGCATTCCAACATCAACAGAAGTCATACACTACTCTACCAATTTACATTCTACTACTGCTATTTCCTTATTGAGCACTACATCATTATTCCCCACTAATGCCTTGTCAAGCAGTGATAATACTAGTATCAATGCACTATCAACCAGTAGCATCAACACTCTATCAAGCAGTGTTAGTACCAATGTTCTATCAAGCAGTGTTACTGGCACTACTACTTCAGTTATCAGTAGTAGCAGTGTACTCTCATCAAGTAGCTCAATTGTTACCATTACTCCCTCTCCAACTCTCCCTATTACTGAGTCAATAGCTACACCATTGTCCAGTATTGAAAGCAGTAGTCCTGTATTGTCAACAGAAAGTAGTCATTCAACAAAAGCCAGTCGTACACTAAACACTGCATCACGAGGCAATCCTACCAGTGAAGTGTCATCATCAAATTCCATTAGTGAATCATCTGTCACTAGAAGTAGTGAGCCCACAGTATTAGGCAATACAGGAGATGGTAACTCAGCTTCAATAATAGCTGCTGTTGTAGTTACAGTATTAGTATTACTGATAATTAGTGTTATAGTCATATTAATATTGATAACAGTAGCATATAAAAGAAGAAACAAAGCAACATTGACTCTTGGTGGACATGATACTTGTCTTGTTAATGCTAATTATTCTGATATTGTTCCAAATGGAAAAGAAGACAAAGGATTAAAAGATGTGTGTAATCCAAATTATGAATCACAAGGTACATGTATATACATCATGCCAAAATGAAATAACTACATTTGTTGTTCCTTAGTGTTTTGATATTCAATTCCCATTAAATGCATTATTTATAAACTATGTATAATGGGTAGACATGACTATGATATGTTTTGGCCGTTAGAATAATGTTTAATTATTATATTTTGTCTTTTATTGGAGCAGGTCCAATCGTGTATGAAGAGGCAATGCCAGTAATGAATGGAATAGAAACAGTTTATGGCGACACAATGATTGACAGTACACTCAATGTTAGTAATCCAACTTATGGAGCACCAGAAAATGGTAGGAATAGTACATAATGGTTTAATGCATTGAGTTATGACCATTAGGTATTGGAGCATCATCAGCGTATGAAGTACCAATTGTAACTATTAACAGAAAACAAGAAGTAATAAACATGTTTTTAAACAACATTTATATGCATATCATAAACATTCATTAACTTTGGAACATGAGTAACGTAAACATCATAAAGGTGATCACTTTCAGTTTATGCTTTGTGCTTTCCTAACAGAATACTGAATTTTCTAATGAACTGTATGGACTATTGGAAGAAGCAACACTATATGTACCCACTGCAGTATGTACTAGATATATTTTAATAATTATGTTTTAATTAACATTATTAATAGAAAGAACGTTCTGGAGAAGAAAGTGAAGAAATTTACTCCACACTAATGAATGAATTGGTAAGCCTTAATCAACTGTGCAATATAATTAAGTAATCATCATATAGTATTCCTCCACATATTCAACACTTGATCGTACTGGTGGTAGTGCATTCTTTATAGAAGATACTGAGTACT